CTTTCTTTCTTGTGTTTTGAGTCGGATTGTAAACCGGTTTGGTTTTGGTTTGTTTTCTTTTGTTTTGGATGATGTATTATTGGGCTGACCATTGGACCTAACATATTGTGTTTGAGCTCTTTGGTTTCTTTTAGTTGTGCTTGGCTTGACTGGTCCTCTCTCCAGTCCACTTCACTCCGACTGGTCCGCTTCCAGTCCCCTGCAGTCCGTGCATACCGGTAACATCGTTCCCCTTTTCCTTCCCTCTTCTCCATTGAGGGCAATGTCGATCTTAAGTGTGGGGGGATGTTTATCTTTTGACTGCATTAGATCTGTTTGTGTGCTTGGAGCCTAGTCCACTGTCCAAATTTTTAAATTTGAGGGCTCCAAGTACGTGTTCCTTGCAATTTCCTACTCAGTATGCTTTGAATTGACAGTCTTTATAGTAATATGCAACCTAGGGAGGTAGTGTAGCACTATGGAGGATGTTGATGCATTTAAGAAGTCTCATTTCTTCTTCATATTGTGTTGGTTGATTGAGTGAATTAGTGATCTTAGGACCCTTGAATTGTGTGGTGTTGTGGACTCTCTACCTGTCATGGACTCTTGTATCATGTTTTGAGTTTAACAGGTGCTCGAAAATGTGCTTCAAAATAATGTCTCCCGTGCGAATAGGGCGAAAGTGTGTAAGGGGAGACGGGAATCCGTTCCCAATTTCCACCTACTACCTCCAGCCCCCTTACATGTCTTTCTCCCGCACGAGGCTCGAGACATCCGCTCCTGGCATGGCCGGTAAGAGCAGGTTGGGACCCTTGAAAAAAAAGAGAAGGAAAAAATAACAGAAAACAAGCAAAACAGAAAGAAAGGGGTTCCAACCATCTTCAAGAAGAAAATAGAGCACCTTGAAAAAATGTGAGTCCATGATCCTTTGTTTTTGAGAATCTCTTCATCCACAATTCATTTGTCCTCTGTTCACTATTTGCCATGATGCCGACTCGATACTAGTGCTCTCGCCGAAGAAGCTATGAGATGACTTGTGCGTCGGTTGACCTCGTAAGCTGCTAAATGATCTAGGAAGTCCTCTACCTACGATCTGGGTTGTTTGTTGCTATAAAGGTCTGGAGAGCTGCATTGGTTTGAGTTAGGTTTGCTTGGGGACAAGCAAACGGTTAAGTGTAGGGGAATTTGATAACGATGTAATTGCACGTATTTTCACCCCTAGTTCTTATCCATTTGAGGGGCATAGTCGTGTGTTTTTGGCCTATTTTATGTCGGGTTGTGCTATTTTGTCATGTTTCAGGTCCCAGGTGTAAAAGGGAAGGCTAAGCACGAGTTTCGGGGCATTCGGAAGTCATTTCGGTGAAGCTGAGCCAAAACACGGGCACACATAAACCATTACACGGTCGTGTTCTGAGACCGTGCTTTTACTGCCGAGAGCTAATTCGAGTTTGGCAAACATTGGCCAAAACTCGGGCAGGGCTGAGATAGAACACGGGCGTGCTTCACCAAAGCACGGCCGTGTTTCTCCTAGTGTAATTAACCCTAGCCAAAGCACGGGCGGGCTGAGGCATTACACGGCCGTGCCCTCGATCGTGCTTTGGCCACTAATGCCCTTTTAAGCAGATTTTCAGCCAAACAGAAGGGGATTCGAGTTTTAGAGAGACAGAGCGATTCCTAGAGAGAGAAAGCGACGAACAAGAGTCTCCAAGTGCCCTAGCTTGATCTTCAACACGATTGGAGGCCAGTTTGAGCTTGGAGAAGTGCCGATCAACGTCCAGGAGCAGGAATCCATCCTTCACAGTATGAATTCCGCGTCTGATTCTGATTTTGCTTCTTTCTCCATGGAGTAGTTCTCCCATTCATCTGGGTATGGAGAACCCTAGATTTGTATGTTAGCTTTGATTGTATGAACCCAAGTACTGATTCTATGATTTGATTATATTAGATTGAGGTTTGAATGATTGAATGACTTGAATCCTGATCAAATTCCTGTTGTTTCTGCTTTAACCTAGAATGAGAATATCTGCCTATGTTGATAGAGCATCCTTGATTGAAGGTAGGGAGTTGGTGACTTTAGTCGAGGAACCAACTCACTATTCTGTACCGGATTCACTTCGGTAGTGGAGGTTTTGTTTGTTAAGGCCTCAATCTGTTTACTCCGGTGGAGGTTAGTCGCCCGCTAGAGACTCAGATTGAGAGGGTCTGAAGACCTTTAGTCGAGACTTCAGGCTTTTTAAGAACCTTCCACAGTATAACTATCATAGAAACTGAACTTTGTAATTGCAATCCGGCTTAACTGCAGTCTAGGGGGAACCATATCCGGGTGACCTCTCTTAACCTGAATACAACAGTTTACTTGCTTTGTTAGTTTGTTAGTTTAGACTTGCGTTAAAGTTTCATTGCTAGATAACAAGAATTCACTGAGTAGTCATCAAATCTAGGACCCGGGTTGACATATAAACCTAACCCGCTATACTACGCTTTAGGAAGTGGTTTCACTTGGCCAATTCCTAGGGTGACAGTAGAAGTGAGTTAGTTATCTAACCAACCTAGGATAGTGATTAATACAACTAAACTAACTAACCTAGACTAGCCACTAATCCTAGCTATTTACAAGGTAGGGAGCTCCCTTAGGTTGAATCCTCCTAGCTCTGTCATATGATCGATGTTGAGTACCATCCTAACTCGATCGAACCACTATCCTATCATTATGAGATGAACTCCCTCAGGACGGACCCGGAACGGTGAAGTGATGGATGTGTAGGAGCTCTATTCAACCTAGGGCACCCCTATATCATAGGAGATCGATCCAATCGACTCCCTCGGGGATTACCGGGATGATATGGGGTGAGGAGTTGTTTCCCTCCTAGGTCAAAAGCTCGATTGACTCAATTACTCTACCGTTAGGAGATTGACTCCCTCGGGAATGACCTGGAACGGCGAATCGATGAATGTAGTAGGCTCTATTCAACATAGGGAAACCCTATATCGTAGGAGATTGATGGAATCGAGCTATGTGAGGTTTTGATAGTTGGGTAAGTCTATGTAAGGTTTGGATAGTTGGACTATGGAATGGGTTGTAATATGTGGGCTTGGAGAATGGGTTGTAATATTTGGGCTTAGGCAGCGTATTTCGGTTTTTCGGTTCGATATTCGGAATCTCGGTTCGGCCGAAAGAACCCTGGTTTCCGAATTAGACAAATTTATGTTCCGAATTCCGAACCGAAGACATTATTTTGGTTCTGGCTCGGTTTGGACTCGGTTCGGTTTGGGTTTACCGAACGGGATGCCCACCCCTACTCTAAGGGGATTTTCTCCCTCCTAGGTCAAAAGCTCAATCCATGAAAATGGAACCCAACTCATGTCATTCATGAAAACATCCATCAATTAAGTAAAATCATCAATCAAACATGGAATGTGTCACATACATTAACATTAAACCCAAATCTAGACCTAGGGTTCTTAAACCAAGAGAAGACGGTGAGTTTCTAGAGAGAGAAGAGAGAAATTACAAATTGGAGCCCAAGATCTTCTTTTTCTTCTTCTAGGCTTGAATCCTTGTCTTCAAGATCAACTCAAGCCTCCAATTAAGCTCCAAGATCACTCAAGCAATCTCTCTCTCTCTCACTAGAACTCCCCTTTCGTGTTTTGGATTGAAACCCTAAAGAGAAAATCGAATCCCGCTCTAAGAACTAGCTCTCCCCTTTTCCTTCAGCTCAAAGTCCTTTTTATACCCAGATCAGGCTCACTTCACGGTCTTAGGCTTCAGTTCACGGCCGCATTGATCAGTTCACGGTCTTAGACAGTGAACTGACGACTTCACGGTCTGGCTTTCAGTTCATGGCCTTAGAGACCGTGAACTGATTTGATGCTAGTAATTTCCAAAATCGTTCTGGAAATTGGTTACTTTACGGTCTTAGAGACCGTGAACTGAAGCTCCAGCCCGTGAACAGGGTTCAGCGCCTCAGCCTCCATTTTTTGGCTCGTTTTGACCTCCGAATGACCCAAAACTATCCGTACCTTACCACACGTGCTAGGACCTGAAATTTAACAAAACACGCACAACCTAGCGTAAAATAGGTTGGGGTACGGTGATCTACTAAGCATAACAAATAAGAAATGAGGGGTAAAATGTGTACATTTGGACCCAAATCAACAGTCAGATATGGAATAAAAAGAAACTAGAGGAATTCAAAATTATGGGGAAAGCGGAGCGATGGCTCATGGAATACATTGACTACCAGCATGCAAGAGAGGAGCACGAACCCAGACATGCACCTCGCCGGAAATCGCCGAAAATTGGTGACTACAAGATAAATGTCGATGCAGCGACATTTGCAGACTCCGGGACGAGACTGAGTGTGGTGGTTCGAGATCGAAATGGATTATTCTGTTTTGTGGGAGTAAGAAGGTCATGAATCAAATGGAGTCCGGGATTGGCTGAGATTCCATCTATAAAATTCGATTTGGAAGTGGCAATGAAGGAAGTTTTTGTCTCGGGGTGATTGAATATGATTGCCTAAAAGCAGTTCAACAGATTGAGAGAGAAGAAATGTCGATGACGGAGGAAGGAGTTGAATGTGAGGAGGTGAAGGAAATGCTGGAGAAGCTTAACGGATCAGTGACCATCCGGTTTTTGGACAGGATAGCAACTTGACAACCCACATCATGACACATACCCATTGTAGATGGGTATTGTGTCAAAATTTGTCTCGACTAGTCTCATCCACATCCTACGGTAGCACAAAGACGGAAAATTTCTTTGGTCCAGTAACTAACATTCCCCAAATGACATAATCTTTTCGTATAAGCCCACAAATGAATAATGGCAGGGCTAAGGCCCATCTGGAACAAAACCGACTTCAACCCTAATAATATAAACTCCCGCGAAGCCCTAATTTCGTACTCTTCGGCCTTCGCTCCGTCTCGTCTTCTCCGCGCACAAACGCGGCGGCTCACCGGTTCCCAGTTCCCGGCGCAGACAGCAGGAGAGGAGCTATCACCAGCAGAAAGCAGCAGCCATGGGTCGCGTCCGAACTAAAACGGTGAAGAAATCCTCTCGTCAGGTCATCGAGCGCTACTACTCCAAAATGACGCTCGATTTCCACACCAACAAGAAAATCCTGGAGGAAGTCGCAATCATCCCTTCCAAGCGCCTCCGCAACAAGATCGCCGGATTCTCCACCCACCTCATGAAGCGGATCCAGAAGGGCCCCGTCCGCGGGATCTCACTCAAGCTCCAGGAGGAAGAGCGCGAGCGCCGCATGGACTTCGTCCCCGAGCAGTCCGCCATCAACGTCGAGGCTATTAAGATCGATAAGGAGACCAGAGATATGATTGACGCTCTAGGGATGGGCGATATGCAGGGCCTTGAAACCATCGATCCTGTCGCGGCTTCCACTGCCGGGTTCGGGTTTGGAAGAGGCGGCGGCGGCGGCCGTGGGAGGTACTGAAGATTCTTAATGATATAGTGAAGGAGCAGTTGCTTTTTGTTATTTTATTTTGTGATCTAGCTTTCTTAATTAGTTAAGTGTTGTTCTAGAACTGCTCTTTCGATTGGCCATACTGATAGGTTTTTGGATGAATTGGAGAGGAAAAGGGTGTCCTTGTTCTTTACGTTTCAATGGTTTATGCTTAAATTTCCCAAGGTTTGGCATTTTGTATGAATTTATGGCTAGAGATCAGTTTGCGGTTGCTAATGCATTACCTGATATCAGTCGATGCTTCGAATTAGGGCGTCAAATTAAAGTGGAATATGTGGCTGTGTAGTGAAGAATCCGTAGTCCGATGTGTTTGCTCTTAGGATTCTCCTGATAACACACTGCAAATGCAGATCAGGCTATAGACGGGTTGCCCTCGCTCGATGCAAAATGGTAATCTATCGAGTATCGACATAAGTTGCCGTGATTGGTGTAATTACAAAACTTGTTTCCATGTCGAAAAACGCAACTCCTTAAAATGTAACACACCCGCCGCACAATCCATGATCGAGGCAGCAGTGTCTTGTAGTGTCAAACTGCCAGGCAGTAGTGCATTTGGAGCTGCTGCTGTTGTTGTCTCGAAATATGTCCCCTCTCCAGTAGCATTTGGTGCTGGTTGCTAGTTGGGTTCTTAGTTGCTCGAATTAGCAATTCCAACCATGTTGAGCATGTGGCGATCTTCTTTAAACCTCTCCAGCACAGTACCTCTTGGACCGTCTTTCTTTTCCTGCTCTCCTTTACTCTGAACAACTCCCCAGCATTCGACTACTTCTGGGACAATCCGACTGGTCTTGGAAAGGCATGGGCTGCCGAATGTTGTGCAGCTGAAGGTATGCCCTGAATCGAAGTTTGCCGACAAGAAGAGCCCCAAGTGATTCACCTTTCCACCAAAACCAATCCCATTTGGGATGCTCTCTGAGCTGAAGTTCACCGCACACTGCCAATCCGTGAAGAGAGGATGAAGTGAAATTAAAGTGCTAGATTGGTTTTAACTGCTTGTAGTAAAAAGGGAGACGTATACCCATTGAACATTCGTGTTTGCTCCAGTTGGCTTGAACAGCGAAGCCTTGGGATGGAGCTGGAACAGGAACGACTTCATATCGCCATAAAAGTCGCCATGCCTCTCCCACGGTTGAGAGGCGTATCCCCCATAGATGTACCCTTCTTTATCCTTCATAACTAATACAGTTGGTCCCTCGCCATTCCTGCAGGTTCCATCCAAGCGCGTAGGAAACATAAAAAAGACGAAGCTCTAAATTAATCGTCCGGGCAAATGCCATGAGACCGACTACTCACGAGATGCTGCTGACAAAAGTGTTGTAACTTAGACCGTTCACAGTACTGTGGTACAGAAGTCTCCACTCTTCCAGCTCGTGCTGTGGAAGTGCCCCTCCTATATGCCACGCATATTCTTTCCTTAGTAAGATCATATTGGAATTGACCTCTTCTCCGAATATTAGTTCAGGAACTTGAGAACCAGGCCTTCCTACAAAAGAACACAGATGTTGAAGGAGTCAGAATCTTGTAGGAAACCTAATGCAATGTAGACGAAAAGATGGAAAGAAAGCAAGAGCAGCAGGAGCACCAGCATCAGGCGGTATCAGTAAGCTCCCAAGGAACTTCCTGATTGATGGAATGAGAGCAGACCAACTTCTAAAATCCGCAAGAGACATGGCCTTTCCGGAAGCACCATTCGCTTCCTTAGAGAAAGTTGCAGCATCGAGAAACGCATTGACAGTCTCCTGACCATGTTCAGAACCTTCTGTACCAAAAATACTGAGCAGAACTGCAACCAGAGCAGATTCTAGATCCGACCTGGTTTTTCAAATGATCCAAAAGAAAGAGACTAGAATGGATGATGAAGCATTTAGAGGGTGCAAGAATATGATCAAACTCCCCCACCATATTTAAGCTATACATTGTTCAGCATTGCTATGCTTGAAGTAAGTAGAGAAGAAACTCTACCTATCGACAACTCCGTCTCCATTGACGTCGAGCAACTGATAGATGAACTCTTCAATTTCATCTTTACTCCCCTTCTCGTAAACACTCTGCAGCAGAAGATCACCACTTCAGCAACAAAGTGCATGAAAAAAAAAAGAGCTGAAAAATGAAGCCTTTTTACCTTGGCAATAACGAGATCTTCGAACTTAATTCTGCCATCTTTCCTTGGTTGGGTTATTAAATCGAACAGCTTCTGGCCAAGAGCACCCTTCAACCCAAAATATTCCTTATAACACCAGGAATTCAAGTTTCAGCACTTCGAAATGGGAAATCAACAGTTCTCAATCGAAGAAGCAGGGAAAAGGGTGGAGCAGAAATGAGGGGAACTCACCTGGAAAACCGAAGGGGAGATGTGATCGCCGTTGTTGCTGGATTTCGCAGCTAGAGAAGCGAACAGCGACTTTAGGTGGTCCAATTCGGTATGGGTGAAAGCTCTGCGGTTCCAAATTTGAATCAGTTCTCTGTTTGAGATTGTGAACAAAAGAGAACTACTTTGGTTTACAGAGAAAGCGCTAACCTAGTGGCTGAAGCATAGCGACGATCGGCGGCCGCGGGCGGTGACTGAGAGTTTCCCATGGCTGTTATTTTCCTTTCCCCGTGGTTCTGGAATATTGATCTTCTTTTCTCTCCACTACTTTTCTTAATGGGTTAATGGCTGTTTAGCGGTAATCAGAACTCTTAAGCTTCCATTAAAATGATAGATACTCCATCTGGACTTGGAAGTGAAAACCCACCACCGACGGGTATCAAAATGTAATTTCAACCTCGATGGGCGATAGTTGACCTAAGTTTCTGGATCGCGGCGGTAAAATTCCAAATTTCTGCGCCATAGTTTGGTGGAGGAGCTCCGACCAACAGACAGACACGGACAACTGTCGAGAATTATCAGCGTGCTAATTTTGTTCGCCGGTGAAACATTGGCTGTCGGGCGGTGGGCGAAAAATGCCGAGACCGTGGATCGTGGTTTTACTCTTCTTATTCATCGTATCAACGTCGCAGCTGGAGTGGGCGCAGCTGCTTGGAAACGAAATCGAACCGATTTCTAAGGGTTCTTCTGAGAAGGAAGACTGGAAATCTAGAGCGAAGGAAGCTGTCAAAGAAAAGGTTGGAAATTTCATTTCACTGAAACCCCGTTCAATCTTGTTTGTTAGTTCCCCGATTAGTCCGAGTAGAAGAAATAGGTAAGCTGTTTGAGGGATTGTGAAGCCATGTTTTCCAGTCACCCCATTTAGATCCAGGAGCGATTCTCGCCACTAAAGATTGGGACTTTACGTGCATTTACAGGTAGAGGAATTTACTAAACTTGGGAAGCTAAGATGGGGGAGTTGGTCATGTTTTCTTAGTATATCTATTGAACTAGTGACAACAAGTGCCCCAGGGGGAATTACTTTACTTGCATATACAGCCTTTCTAATTCTGATGTGAGAAGGTGGAAGTGTATAACTGGAACTCTTTCTGCTGCATCCTATCTTTCCTTTTGTTGGTTTGTTGTGTTTTCATCTTGTTTCTTCTTGTTGTTTGTTTAACGACTGAGCTTATCCTTCTCCTGATTGTGCTGTAGGAGTTTCTAGAATTTGCTAAGTATCTGTTTTTTAAAATGTTGTGCTGCAGATTATCCTATCTCAAGAAAAGAATATCCAGGAGCTGAATGAGCTCGTACAGAATCTTCAGGAACAGTTGCTACAATGCAAAAGTGCAAAATTTGTTGTGAATGATACAGTAGCAATCGAATTGGCTGAGCAAAGAAACCAGCTTGATCAGGAATCCGTGTCTTCCGACTAGACGTTTGTATACTCACATTCACATCAATGTACTGGTATGTGTATTCAGATGTATCATTCACCAATTACACTTTTTGGTGAGATAGTTTCCTCATACTTTGGAGAAACCTGTAAATTTCAAATGTGGGGCCAAATTTTTCCTTTGAGTATGTACTATGGATGGCTGGCTAATCCCTATATGCTACATGATCTTTCTGTGTTACCTGGTTAGTTGTTCGCTGATGTGCTGCAATAACCAATCTTCAATCATTCAAAGTGGTCTGAAATCTGAATGAAAGATGGATTCCGATGGAAGTTGTTCTTTGGAAGTGCCATTTGAAGGAAGAAACTTTTACTTATGTTGACCTTAAACCTGAAAACTCAGCTTGTAAGTAGCCGGCCATGATCCTGATAATGAACTTCACATAATCTGCTGCTCAAGTTTTCAGAATCATCCATTTTTGTGCGTCATTTACTGCACCATCTTGGTATCCCAATAAATAGTAACTGTGGCTCTACCTACCAGTTTACTTTTCTCTTAAATTGCAAATTTATGACTTTGTGCAGATGCATTTAGTTAGAGGAGACTAACGTGTTTTAATGGTTGTATTGCTGTTTCTGGATGCCTTATTGTTCACTGCAGTTCTCACTATTTGATGCTTCTCTTTAGCTCTTATTTCCCCCTAGCTTCCTTCTTTCCACTGTCTTCCCTGAAAAGGATTAATATTTATTGTTGCATCATGTATTGTTGGTTGCAGTTTCATACCATTCTTATTATGATTAAGAAGAGGGTCCCAGAGCTTTACTCCCTTCCTTAAGTGACTGTACTGTTATTGTTTGTTTTTTTATATCCATACATACATCTACTTTGAATAAGCCTAGTCATCGGTTTTAATTCACATAAATTCCAATGTTAAATTTCTTCTTGGCGGGGCCTTTGATATGATATTTGCATGGGGGGTTTGGTTTCCTTCATGCTTGACATGATGGGATTTCAAACTCCATGCTTTGATATGATTTGAGAATGTCTTCCACTTGGCGTATACTCTGGAAAATTTCTGCCCTGTTCCATGTGCCTAGAGAACCAGCCTTCATCCATCTTGTTTGTATCAAAAGAAACTGGAAACTCGGGTTGTCAATTTCCATTTGCTTTCTGATGCAGATGTGTGCATCGCAGCGGGGGAAAACCCCAGATATAGGAGAATACTAATCCATTGGTTCAAGAACCGCGCTTGCGAGAAGATGATAACATCGAAGTGAAACGTTAAATTACTTGTTTTCCTTGCAGCTGCTTAGGAGGTACTACCTATGTATTAAGTGCAGAAGGAGTAGCTGTCAACTACAGTGTTGTAATTGAACACTCAAGAGACTCTGTTGAGCTTAAGTTCAGTTAGTTGTACAATGAGATATAGGTACTGGGAGATCCATAGATGTTCTGTCCAAGAAAAAGAAAGAGGGTTTAGGGTTTTGATATTGTTACAGTACAGAGTTGAAGTTCCAGGAAGGAAGCAAGTAATGTGTTGGTTAATTCATGACACTGCTAATCAATTTTACTTTCAGAATCTTTTTTTCCCTTTATGATGTGAAATAAGTGAGAGTTGGGGGAAGGAGTGAGTCCTTCTGGTATGTATTGGATACATCAACCATAAATTGTGGCCTCACTCACATCACACCCACTTCATTGAACCTCCACCAGATTTTTCATTAATAGGATTCCCTCTCAAATTTGCAGCAATTTATATCAGTAGTTAGCAGTCTGCTGAAGCCCTCCATAAACAGGACATGTGCAACCAAAAAACCCAAGTAATTATGGCCTGAAGTTGAAAAGATGAAACTGAGAAAGCACTTCCCAGGCAATTCACACAGGAAGGAAACAGAGTTCCAAGTCTCTTCATCCATCCAACCATCATCCTTTTCAGACTTTTTCGTGGCCGATAAAGGGTTGCCATCAAGAGATCTTTATCACAAAACTAATGGCGCTGATCATTAATGGCTCTTCTCTAACTTTTCATTCTCGTGTACTTGTCTGTATTGAAGAGGAGTGGTTTGTGGGGGTGGTGGTCTCTCATGGATATGATATGAACACGCCTTTGGAAACTTAACGGAGCCATCCCCCAAACCCACATTTGTCATTTTCATTAGAGAAGCAGTAACACCAAAAGGACAATAAGATTTCTATTCAGTCTCGGTCCAGCCAAACACTTCAAACACACACATGCCACTAGCAAAACCCTACCACAAAACATGGAAAATATGGGCCATTTGTTTCGTGGATTTGATAGAGGATTTGGGTACTAAATCCCAACTTTTGTAGATTTGTGACAAAGTTCATTGTTCTGCTTGTCATTGTTACGGAATCAACTTTGCGGGTCCATGGACTTTAAGGGTGCAAATACCATGATAAGAAGTTTGATTTGAGACGTGACCCTAAATTCAGGATGACATTCAAGAAAAACCATTTCATCTAATTCAACAAGCAAACAATAGTTCTTTCAAATTCATAATACACTCAAAACTCTCGGTAATTCAACGGTGTTTCAAACCTAAAATTTAACGAATACCCTCATTTTTAAAATTGATGAAGGAAATCATCCCTTAGTTTTAGTGTTGGTCATTGGACCACAACACGAGTATACAAATGTTCCATATCACTCTCTCTGCTGCCATTGGAGGAGGTTAGAGGTATCAAAAGTATGGTGGAAAAGGCCCGTTAGGGTTTATGTTGAATCACTCCAAGTCCCACCAACGTTATATGGTTATAGGACCAGTGGGCTGAGGATGGGGATTCTCGTTCAAGGACCACCTCAATCTGGCTACCACTGTTTAATGGTGTCAATCAATATCTGGTTGACTTAACTTCATCGATGAAAATTGCAGTTGATACTAAAAATGTTTATCTGATTAACTATCATCTATAAACCAGACTAATTCATAATCAGTAAGTATCCAACATAACATCAATGCGAAAAAGTGCTAATAAGATCGTCGGTAAGAATCTTTTCGTAAATAAACCGAGGTAGATCTCGACTCGTCTATTAACGAAATAATTTCAAATTTGATCAAACTCAACTCGACTCAATTCGACTCATATACTACTTTACTTATAAAATTCTCCGAACTTTGCCTAAAATGCAGAAGAAAACAGGTAACTTGTTTGGGAATATGCCAGTAAAGTTAACCTATAAGGTTAAGTAGTATTATTTTATTTCCCTATATTTCTAGGAGAGCTAGGCAAAGCATTTGTTAGGTCACCATTGCAGCCAACCAGAAAGAATTTTGCAATTTTGCCATTAGAAGACTGATTAACCCGTCCACCAGTCCTTTTCATCGGGTTCTGAACTTCTTATGTACTAAAATCTAGACGACATGATTTTTTTCTTCTCTCGTTTCAGTCCCTTAATTATGGAAATAGCACACAGAGGTCCCTCAATTTTAGGAGTGCCTTTTCTCAATTTTAGTACAATGACTCAATTGTTTCATGCTTTTTTGTTTCCCTTTACCACAGCTAAGATAGCTAGCAGTAGCAACACATGCAAGAACAGAACAAAACCTTTCTTGGCGAAACAAATGAAAGATGAAAAGAAAGAAGGAAACGCATTTACGTTTGCACCGAATTTCGCAATGAGACCACAATTCAACTCCACACTTACAAAATGGGTCCATACATGAAATTTGAAAAGGAGACCATTAGGGTTGGCATTCGGTTTGATTTGATTATAACAAAAATTTTAGTAGGTTCTCGGTTAATCGTTTAGCATGATGTGTTTACGGTTAATCGTATAATTTATATTAGTCGGTTAATCATAACACCATATAGTCGATTCTCGGTTATTTTATTGGTTAACCGGATAAGTGTTAAGCGAGTATTTCAGCAAGTTTATACCAAAATGACCGATCGGTAACATGACCAACAAAAGATCTCATATTTTCAATTGTGCATTTTTGTAGGTTTTTTCTTACAGATGTATGTATTTTTTTTTACGTCGTTATCATTCAACAAAAAATAATTTAACATATATGTCCATCCATAATCAACTCAATAACACCATTCTACAGTCAAATTTGATTAAAGAAGCAGACAATAATAAGAGACACAACAACAATAGCTCAACTCATAAACCCTACCAAATTACATGGAAACTTAAATGTTTTGATTGTTGTCGAGCTATCGTGCGTAAGTTCAAATTTCTATTGTGCTCCTTCTAAAAATTTTCTTTGAAATTATTCTCATTTGAACTTAAGTCACTATTACAAATAGGATAGGCAAGGGATATTGTAGGCTTTCAAACATCCCATTATTTCTGGCTTATGCTTACGGCTCATCGATGTCTATTATTTTCGGTCCTAACTATGCGGGTGACCGTAACCAATAAGTCAGTTAACCGTATAGCCATTAGTTACTAACCGTTTAGTCGTCAGTTAGGAATTAGCTTAATTTGGCTATCAGAAATCGATCATTTACTGTTTAATCGTTATTGATGTAACCGTTAACAGACCGGTTATACCGCTAGCAAGATAATGGTTTTGCCCTACAAACCACAGTGAGGGAGGTAGGATTTGAAATTAGGTATATATTTTCTTAGTACATAAATATCTAATACACTGATATCTAATTGACTTGTAAAATTATAATTTTCATAAACAATCATGACGTATTTTCATATTCTGAAATAGGGTAAAATACGTTCATTGTTCTTGGAAAAATACGAGTAAATGAGAAGAAGAGAGACTGATTAAGAATTTGATGTAATTAGGAAGTTAATTTATGATGTTATAAATATATATTATAGAAATATAATCACAAGTAATAATTTGCAATACACTGAACTGATATGCTCTTACGTGAATTTAGAAGTGTTGCGATCCCCTGAATATACATATCTGGGGTTTGATTATATTTTTACCCAAGATTAGGTTTATGACGTTACACATATAAAATGCTCTGGCTCCGCCTATATTCATATGAGAGATTGAGTGAGGTGAGTGATATATCCATAATTAACATTCTTCCAATAACTTGATTTGTTGAGAATGTTAATTATGAATCTTATATCATCTCTTACATACATACTGATGAAAAAATTAAACACGATGATTATCTAAATATTCATACTCGATTCTTGTTGGATGTGTGTAAAAAAGATAAGTGTACTTAGGATATGAGGGACAAAGTGATTAATTTTGTCATGCAATCTATGGGATAAATATAAGGGAGTGCTGTTGGAAGTTTTAATAGCTTTGAATGGGAGGCATTGAAGGGTTTTCACAGAAATTTGCAACAACAACTCTGTGTGTATTTTAAATGATCGCCTTTAAACACAAAACCATCTTTGGACTCTCTTTTTTAGGTTACAGAAAATTAAAATGACTATTTCCTTTTCTGTTTCATTATTACTGCTTATATTAAAATCCAAGACTTAAAATCACAGTACCCAGAGAGACCAACAGATTACTCATAGTAAGCTGCTGCTGCTGCATGCAGTAGTTGGGGGTAAAATTAAAGGAAACTTTTAATGTTCATAATGGCAAAGTAATTGAATTGGGTGATTCATATTTTCCACAGAGAGGTTGATGATGGAAGGTGGAGTTTGGTTGGGGAGGATCTGTAAATAATGGTGGGTTTTAATGCATTTTTATTAATGCACTATTTAAGTTGTTAGATCTCAATGTAATACATCAGCTGGTTATGGATATGGGAGCTAGCTAGCTACTTGCAGTAAACTACAGCAGTAATCAATAATGGTCATCAAGAAGGATGGAATTATATATATATATATATATATATATATATATATATATATATATATTTGTTTAATTGCTGAATTAAAGCTCCAGGAAGATTTAGAGGCTCATTAATTTGGAGGGATTATCAAATTCAATGCCCTTGAATGCATTTGAATGAACAACAGTGGATTCAAGTGAGCTGCAGCCAGCTCTTCTTGAAATGATTAAAAATATAAGTTTAAACCAAAAACAAATGATTAATAACCAAAGTATTAAAGGCTTTTGAGTTTCAACTTTCAACTAGGGATTCCATTGTCCTTCCATGATATGGACTCCCTTTTCCCTGAATGCAGTGACAATCCTCTGGATGATGGAATGTATAGTTCTGGAAAGGTGATTGAATTTCCATTACGAGAATAGAATGGAGATAATTTCTTATTTGTGTTTGTGTTTCGATAGGTGTATTTTAAATTTATGTATTTGAGAAACTTATAATTCAAATTCATTGTTTGAATATTCATTTGGAGTTTCAGATTTTATGGTTTTTATGATAAAAACATTCCAATATTTCGGGAAAACTACAATTTAGTACAAAATTATTTTTTGCTTACGATTTGGTACCTAAATTTTAGTTTTTTTTTAAAAAAAAACATGTCCTTAAATTTGGGTGGAAAATTTATTTTTCAGTACCTGTATACTTTTTTACTTGTGTTATAATATCTAATCATTTTAAAATTTTACAAACAAGTCCTATCTTATGTTTTGAGAAATTTCATAACATGATAATTATGACATGCTATTATTATTTTTTAACTCAATTTATGATCCATCTCGTAAGAATGAGGACTATGTAAGGACAACGGAATGAACACGAGTCGAGCTCTTCCATCATGATTCATGAGCAATCCTCAACCCATTTGATCTTCACGGTT